TATTTCTGATCACTCTTGGTCCCTGTAACAATAATATTGTAAACTGTAATTTTATTGATGTTCGAATATTAGTTGCATAAAACAATGTTTGATACAGACATTGTTTACAGAATTCCAATGAGAAACAACAATGGAAACGCGTCGGTTGCCTATTCACACTGAACCGACAGCAGTTATCGACGGATGGACAAAACATTCTTCTCGAAAATGGTCGGACGGTTTGTGTTGGTTCCAGGTGTGGCTTTGAGGGGAAGTGCCACTGGGGTCATGGCCTCCCCCCCAAGGCTTTTCAAAAATTAAAATTTTTTATTATTTTTGGTCCTTGTGAACTGTAAAATCCCGATTATTTAATTAGATACCTACCTAACAATTTTATTTTGCCTAAAAAACCATATTATGACATTAATATGAGGTGTGTATTATAAAATAGGAACGTAGTCAAACTCTGTGTCTAAGTACTAATTTGAGGAAACAACTATTATCAGTTAATACTTAAAATGACCCCCCCCCCCCCGGTAAGTCTCTGTAACCGCGCCTGGTTGGTGGTGAGTAGATATTGTCATAATTAATATCAACATAGAAGTACGTATTTTGTCCTGTCACGTCTCGTTGCATCGTACCAGCGTGAACCGGGCTTTACTCCGAAAGTGATATTTCCTCCTCGAACGGTGACACGTACGTAACGTATACACAAACGCGAACACCTTTACGCTTTTAACGTCACGTGGATTAATATGATTTAATGTTAATGATATTTTTGATCGATATGCATAGTACAAAAAAAAAAAAAAAAAACACGATAAATACCCGTAAATTCGATCACCCCCTTTGTGCCATCGATTTCCCTCGGCCACCGCTGCTGCATCAGCAGCAATAACAGCAGCAACCGTCCCGTCACACATTCGAACCCTATATTACATATTAGATCAGGTACACATCGGTTGAGCATTACTATGGAAACGTTATTTATTACGTGCACATCACACCAGTCACCCGATCGCCACTACCGCACCGGCCGACCGAACGATATTCAGACATCCGAGTGACGTAGTGCGTGTTGATTGCGTGATTTAGCGTTCGTACGCGTCCATTAATTAATATGTTCGGTTACTCTTTATGCGAGAAGTCACTACATAATATACACGCATAAATGTATAAATTTATGTGCATGTATGTGTGTGTGTGTGTGTGTGTGTATTCGTAGGGTTCCGCGCAACCTTAAGTCACTAAATAATAATACCCTTCGTAGTGCGTAATACATTCGAATATCATTATTGTTGTTATTATTGCTATTGTTATTGGTCTTGGTTAGCAAACGGATCGATAGTAATCGTTATTCACGACTGCGAACGGTCTGGTCCCCTCGGTCCTCAGCAGTCCTCGTTTCGTCGATCGGTTATAATTAACGCTCAAATACTTATACCATATAATAGCGTAATGACACGGTGAACACTCCATTTCGAGTGTGTTTCGGCAGTTTATATGGCAGCTGCAACGACGTTTAAACATAATGTAAAAACTACGTTTTCTTTTACTTATCGTTTATAGTTGTAGATATTCAACTTTAGGCGGAGGACTTAAATTTTGTAAATATTTAATTAGCAGATAATTCTTAACTGTTGTGGTAAAATGCTAATGTTATTAAAATTTTAGTTTTTATAAGCGAAATACGTTTACAGTAAATGTTGTATTATTATTACTATTATTATTTGCACCATTACAATAAAACCTTAAGAACTTTAAGTTTTCGGTTTAAAAATTGATTGATCTCATTAGGTCTTTTATGCTAAATTATGTGTAACTTAACAGATTAACTAAATTGCCACATTTAAATACGTAAATGCATGCTTCAAGTGATTAAAATCATGCTACAAAACTATTTAAATGATTTATAACATTCACTGCCGAAAGTTTTGTCCTATTATTTTATATTATTCTAGAACAGTTCATACTCCACAGCAAAATTCAATTTCTTTTATAGACATAAACACAACGTTTTGAACTTTACATTTTACCTTAATAAGTCTTCAACATTTATAAAAATATTTAAATCACAAAACCATTCCTAGAATCATTATGTAAATGAATCGATAATAAATATATATATTATAAAAATTTAATTTTAATATCATTGTTTGCATCACAATGACACTAATGGTGTAGAAATAGTACAAGACATTATGGTGGAATTATGAACACAGATTAAATATGTAGTTAAATAAAAAGTTTATTTTGTTTTTACTTGAATTGTAATTATTTTTGGCCAATAATTATTTATTTAATCCATATCAAGCTATTATTTACTTTGAGATCCATAGTATTTTCTTAATTAGGGTTGGTTGTGCAATGAATCGACTACAGTTATTACAGTTAAATTTAACGAAATTTTCACATGAAATTAATAATAATACGTTTATTGACGTCTAATAGATATGTGGCTTCACTATTCTTGTATTTCTTATTATAAGTACCATCAAAAAAGTTCAAAATGATATTGATTCTAGTATATATAATGTTATAAAAAGTCATACATAATTATTTTGATTAATATGTCCTGTGGTTTAAATACTTTTTATTTATTTTAAAACTTTGTTTATAGTGTTAAAAAAATAATTTCTATAAAAGAAAATAAAGAACTTTTTGAAGACGTGCACTGAATACAAATAAAAAACGAATTATAATAATTTGTGTCCATTCTTTTTGTGCAATATAAGCTTGTATATATTTACATATTTAAAGAAAAAGAATCCTAAAGGGAGAAAATATTTCGAATCACTCATTCAGGACTATTTTTGATCCTCATTATCTAAGTTAATGTTATTTGTATTTTTTCAAACGATAAATATTTTTCCTATGATTATTTTCCAAATATATGCCAATTATTTAGTATTTCACTTTATTGGAAACGAAATAAATAATATTTATAAGAATTGATCAAATCTCTGTTGCTGAAAATAGTTGAGTTATTTTACACAAGCTTATTAATATATTTAATAAGATTGTTTTAAATTTGTAAATATTGATTTTTAATAGGTAACAAAATCATAAACGACAAGTTTTATAAATTATTTGTTAATTATCAAATAACTCTACTCAAATGTACATCTCAACCACACCCGCAAGTCCCAATATCAACATACAAAATTATAAAATTGTAACTGAAGCGGCTATGAATTTTTTTCGCCATCATTTAGTTACCCAGAAAACTAAACTTATCGTGGATATAGGGGTGAATTATAAGTGGTGAAATGCATACCCGATCCAGTTTCCTCATCGTTCTCGCAAAATATATATTTCTCGCAACAACAGGACGTGACGTTTTGTTCATAAATTTATCCTCTTGTCGTACTTTATTCTTTCATTTACTAAATCGCTATAGACATACTTTAGTACGAACCATCCATATTTTACTGTGTAGACTTTTGAACTCGATCTTTACATTATGTATGATTATAATTGTTTCCCTCCTCCCCGGTCTATTATTATAACAATGTGCAAAAATCACGTATACATTATTAATCATTTAATATTTTGATGTCGAATTTTTTCGTAAAAGTTTTAGCTTCTGAATAAATTAAATACATATCATTACTACATAACAATTAATACATACTAAATGTGATGTTTTATTTTGTTTCAGAAGGCAATTTGATAATAATTAAAAAAGTGTTGAAAGTTTACAATGTCATATAGGTTTTATATAATAAACTTCTAACTTCTTTAGTACCTACAATTATGATTATATTACAATCCGTAAAATTGGTCAGAACTTTAATACGTGTATTGTTAAAAAAAATAAATCTATCTAAATTTTTTAAATATTGAAATATATATAAAATTTATATAATATTAAAATATTAAATTATCTAACTTTAGTTTATTTAGTTCAAGTATATCTAATGCAATTTCTGAACCAATATCAATTACGGAGTATTTACTAATATAATAAATTTATAAGAATGGATACTAATACTTTATAATGAAAACAAATAAATAGCTGTTTAATTATATCAATAAAGTTAATTAATTTTACTAGGTAACCTATTCATAATTTTCATAGTTTAAGTTATTCTTAGTTTTTTTTTTAGAGACATTTATAATATAAAATTGTAAGTTTTCATCAAATTTATTCACACATGACTAAATTATTTAATTTTAAAATGTGAATTCACTATTTTTATTTTTTTTTTTAAACACTTAAGTTTTAAAAATAAACATTAAATTAAATTACCTACTGCGTTATATTTGTAAATCAAAGTTGTATTTTAAAAATCATATTGAAAATAATATTAAAAAAATATAGATTTCAAAATTAAAATACATATTTGCTGAAAGACCAATAAAGAGTATCTAAAGAGTGAGTATTAGATTTATTTGAAATCCTTAACCACTAATTTATTACTTATTTTTTATTTTATGGGAACTAATAAAATTCTCTATTCTTCTAATGAACCATTTAATTTTCTTTCTTTTGTATATTATATAAGAAATAAAATGAAAAATTAAATATTACATTTGTTTATATTATTACAAAATAAATATTTTTTTATTATTTTATGATTCATAAAGTCAATTAAAAATACAATTTTTCGTAGAAAATTAAAATATAGACAAAATGACGAAAATATAATAAACTGTGTTCTAAAAAAAAAGTATTTTCCATGTACACGTAATATTAGCAATTAATTTACAATTATTATTAAATCTAAAAAATATATTATAATTCATAAATATTTTTCAAAAAAATAAATTTAAATATAATTATTTTAAATATTTTTATTAATTAATCATTTAATAAATTAAATAATAAAGTTAGTTTGTTTAAGTTATTATTTTCATATGAAGTTTGAATTTTGCCAAGAACAACGAATGTGTACAAGACGGATCATCCGGAATAGGTTAAACGGTTTACCTGAAATATGAAATAATTATAATTTATTAATTTTAATTAATAACTTATACCAACAATAATATTTTTTTTTATTACTTACAGATTAAGATTACACTTCAGTAGTTTCGGTTTTGATAGAATAATTAGGTATTATTACTGATCCACCACGATCGTCGTTGACTGAATTATATCGAGGATGGATAATTTTTGGGTCGTTCAAAGGACTCTTGTCCGACATGATTTTCGGACGTTTTTTTTTTTTCCTCAGAAAACCAAAAAACCCAATCGTAAATACACCCTAAAAGTAAAATAAAAAATATGTACATTATATTTTTTACTCGATAGTTAGATCATACGCAGATCTTTAACTAAACATTACATTTATAAATCGTTTAAATTAAACGAACAAAAAAAAGTATTGTCATATGTACAATGACTGTCATTGTAATGGTATTTATAATCTTTTATTTGTTTCAATATGACCCTAAGAAAAAGTGAACATTAAACTTATTTTGTTGGGCGTGCTTTTTTTCTTTAAAAAAAAATCAAAAAATCGTTAATTGTCGGAGTATGGTAGAATTTTAATCTTGAGTATTACAGAACTTAATTCATTTGTTTTCTTGTACAACAATAGATAAATTAGGATTGAAAATAATTATTCAAATTTTTTTAATATTTTTATATTATATTATTATTATTTTTATACATTTTTTAAAATGTTTATTATTTTTCTATTTATTTATTTAATTTTTAATTTTTTTTATTATTTGTATTATATTATATATTATATATTATATACAATATTAACTCGAGTACTTAGTTTGTTAGGTATTATATGTAAGAAAAAAAAAATCGTTTCTTGAAATTACATAAATAATAATATAGTAAATATTATGTCATATTTAAAAAATAGTTAATAAGTGTATGTATACTTACCAATACCAAGCAAATAAGGCCCATTGTAGTCATACATATAGAAAAGCCAAAATGTTCTAAAAGAACGCCTCCCAATGATGGACCGGTCATATCACTAAAATGAAAATTTGTTTGGTTGGTTAATATTTTATTTATTTTGAAAATTTATAAAGAGTAACTAACGCGTGTCAAAGTATCAAAGATAAAAAAAATCTTTGAAATATGTTTGTTTAAACATTTGTGAATTCGTTTTTTAATCTATTTTACTTTTAAAAATATCAGTAATTAAAATATTAAATTAAATAATGGATACCCAAGTGAATATGCTGATGACCAAAATCCGGCAACAGTACCAAATGTAGAAACGCTTTCTTGAAATCCATTATCTCTAAAAAAATATTCCATTAATAATAAATTGTCGAGTACATAATAAATAAACTTACATTGCACTTGACAGAATGAAATTGAACGCAGGCATCATAGTTAATGATGCAGATACACCCAGGATTCCAAGTCCAACCAAATTCAACCATAGAACACTAAAATTGTATTTATGAACTGAATAACTTATTTACATGACAAATATGCATATTATACATCACATTCAACATATATTTATTATTCAGTATTGGATGGAGTAACAAACCTATTGATTATATTATGTTATGTTTTGTGATGAAAAAAAAATGACTCAACATTTTTTACAAAATTCCTTTATTAATTGAAATTGAAATTTAAAATATATCTTTAGTAATTTATTTCTCAAACGTATCAGGTATCAATGGCTCTTGTTGGTTAATTTTTCGACTCCTAAATCTTACCAAACTAAATTCAAATATCACAAATAAATGTGAGTAAAATTTTTCATATTTTTATTTAATGTTTATTACATTTTGAAAAACAGAAAACAACTTTTTTTCCATAGAAGTTGAATTACCTATTTCTTTTTTTTTTAGTAAATCATTAATAATTAATAATTTCTATAGTTAAATTTTTTATACTATTTCTTTAATTCTATATCAACATTATTTATTTATTTATTTATTCATAATAACGGACTTACAGTTCAAATCTTAAAGTCTAAACAATATACAGCAATTTATATAATGGAAGTTTAATCAAAGATGAAAATATAATATAAAAGGAGATGAATAAACTATGAGAAAAATTTAAACAAATTATTACATGGGGAAATCTATAGTATCCTTAAAAGAGTTACCTTGGATTAATAACAAATTTATGGGGGATGAATGTATATATTTAAGTGAAGAATTTGGAATATGAAATAACTTTTAATTTCTAAAATTATGTGCATTTATATTAAAATTAATTAGGCTTAACAGAAAAGGTTCATCAATCTTATCGTTTAGAATTTTAATTAAAAATTTTACATATGAGACATTTCTTCTTTCTTGAAGAGAATTAAGGTTTAATAAGTTTAAAATATTTTCGTAACCAGAATGAGAGGGCCTTAAAATATTACACTTCAAACAAATAAAACGGAGGTCTTTATTTTGTACTGATTCTATTTGATTAATGGAACATACATTTTGAATATCCCAGATTATTGAGGCATATTCTAAGTGAGATCTTACGAGAGAGGTATAAAGAATTTTAAGAGTGTAGGGGTCATTACAATTTGAACAATTACGCATTATAAAACCTAACATGGAGAAGGCTTTACCCGTATTTTTCGTAGATATTATATGATCAGTAAATAAGAGCTTGGAATTAAAAGAGATCCCAAGATCTTTTACTAGGGAATAGCGAAATAAAACATGATTGATTAATTTATAGTTAAACGTTAAAATATTGATTGGTTTTTTTTTTTTTTTTGGGGAAATGAAATAGTTTGACACTTATTTAAATTTAATGATATTTCATTGAAGTTATACCATTTATTAAAGTTATAATATTATCAATCGTTTCAAGTATGTCACCATTTTATGGGTCTAAATTAGGGTGTCTTCCTACAAAAAAAGGTTGAGATATATTGCAGTAAAAAATATTTATAAAAACATTTTCAAAACTTCCTGCTGAATTAAAATAATTTTAATATAATTTTACGAAAAAAGGTAATAAAATACTCAATTTTAAATTTTCTATAAATAGCTAAAATGTATATCAACTACGGCTAAAGGTGATACAGGCATTCATTGAAAATTTCAAATTCCTACGACTACTAAATACTCGGCCGTAAATATTGATTTTTTTTTACTTTTTGTTAGTGTTTTTTAATTATTTAGAAATCTGTTGGAAATGTTGTTAAATTATCCCACTCAATGTACCAAAAAGACAATATTTTTTATCAAAAATCTCCTACGGTTGTATGATTAGAAATAATTTTTCTGGTCGAAATCGTGTTAAGACACAATATAATAAAAAATTGAAAAACACAACATGATAAAATCAATAGTTTTTTCATTTCACTCGGAATCTAATAAAATTTGTTTTCAACCATAATATTTGGGTGTGATTTATTGTTACTGATGATTTATTATATCAGCAGCATATATGATAACTTACTCTTTGTCCAATGGTAACCAAGGAATAGGAGCTAAAATGAACAGTCCGAAAGCTGATATAAGCAAGCCACCAGCCATCATTGACCAATGGTTATCATATTTGTCAGCTATGTAACCCCAAATCGGACTAGAAACTCCGTATAGTACAGAACAAAACAGAAACACAAGTCCCACCTCGTCGGTAGACAGTCCCATCTGTAAATTAAAATTATTATTGAATTGCTGTAATTATTGAAATAAAAAACAAACAAATAGACAAACGCATTCGGCATAACATTAATAGTGGAACATCGTTGCTTTAAATATTTAAATATGTGCATAAATTTGCATTAAAATATAGTTTGAATGTTTTTACATTTCAAACATTTAATAAAAATATATAAAATGAATAGAATAAGTACGGGATTTTCGTAAGAAAATAACAAATTCAAATACACTATTGAATACATTGAGTATTTTTCGGATTTTATTTTTTTTTTTGTGTAAAAAGTTTAAATTTCATTTTAAATATAATTTATAAATATAAAATTATGACTTCTGAAAAAAAAATTCTGAAAAAAAAATAATAAGAAAATTATATACGTAAATGTATTAAAAACTGTTAGGCAATAAAAATCGGAATATTACATAAAGTTCAGAGTTCTGATTATTAAACATTATTGTTTGCAGTATTTTCATTGTAAATGAGTAGATTATTTATTAAACAAATTTACTTTCAAAATCTATTGGAAATTTTAAAATATTACTTCTCGTAAATGTGGTTCAAGCGTTGGATCAAGTGACGCCCAAAAATTGGATGTAACCGTAATGACAGCTCCGACGACAAAAGCTGAAGGAATTATGAGTAATTTTACTATACCCTTTGATCGGCTTCCAACAGCTTGTGATGCTTTTACATCGTCTATTTTTATAAATAAATATTTAATCATATATACACACATAAACATATATATATACATATAAATAAATTTTAATTTTACAATTTTAAAATGTTGTATGAATTATTATAAATTTATAAATTATTAATTACCTTTAATTGGAGGCATAAGGTAAATATGCAGTGGCACGGTAGCTACCATTAAAATGCCTACTACAAAAAATGGCAAAGCATAACCTCCAACCTAAAAAAAAAAACTTATTATCAAAACCAATTATTTAAAAGTAGATTTTATTTTTGTGTAATATTTTACTTACTGAAGATAACAATCCTCCAATTGCAGGCCCAACACTCATTCCTAAACCGACAAATGTTTCCAATATACCCTAGAGTGAATACAAATATAAAATTCGAACAAAATTCGATACAGGTACTTATAATATATTAAAATTTTGAGTGATAAATTTGAAATAAGTATTCAATACTTACTAATACGCTACTGACGTTATCTGGAAATATTTGAATAACGTAAACAAAACTTGACGTAGAAAAAGCACTGGCTCCAATTGCTTCAAGTCCTCGTACTATAAAGCATAGTATTTTAAACTGAAAATTATCTTCTATCATTGGTAATAATCTGAAATAATTTATGTTTTTAACTTCAAAAATTAATTTTTATTATGGTATTTTGATTTTCATGGATATAAAATATTTTATATTAACTCAGTTCTAAGGGCATTGTCTTTTGAGTCCTACCCCAAAATCTCTCAAGGCTTGTTACGATTTGATACGTTTTTACTGTCTATAAATATACTTTTGATCGTAGATCAAAATTTGTTCTTTAACAATTTAAACTTAAATAATATGAACTCCTCAAGAAAATTGTTGCCAAGAAAAAAATAGTTTGTGCATTTTATAGAAAAGTTTAACATTTAAAAATCCAAAATAACTAGGTAAGTGTATCAGTTTATTTATTTAACTAGCGTGAGTTTCAAATTATGTTCAATAATTATGAATTATTTGAAGTAATTGGAATTTTATCAAATATATAGTAGAGATGGATAAATTAAAATACAGTAGAACCTCGATTAACCGCTTATCTCAAGACCTGATAGATAAATGAAGATGGTTAAACGAAATTTTTAAAACATACATATTTTTTTAAATTTTTTTTTTAATTGTGATGAAATTCATTGTTCGTTAATTTTTTAAATCTATCATACATTTATTTACTACCCATACATATATTCATACATGGAATTTTTTTTTACATACTCATATTCGTATCTTGCTCACAACGTGCTTTTTTACTGCCATATCTCCTATTCTTTCTGCGCTAGTAGTGATGGTTATTCATGACATAGTTAATGGGGGAGGGGACGGATAATCCAGGTTCTACTGTACTGATTTTGTTAAGGTTATATGTTAAATCCACCAATTATATTTCACCTCTGCTTTGTATTAAATGTATTTGCAATTGTGTAACATAATTAATTTACTATAACTCACACAACATTTATCTCTACATTAATGTAGAATCTACATAGTATATGGTAGTGATTAATTGTTATCTAATAGTATTTTATGGTAACTATAATTTATAACAACTAAATAAAATTATCAACCCATCACAACATTATACTATTTGTATTTTTAGTCGCACTTTTCTTGAAACTCATTTTATGTTGGATATTTACATTACAAATTTGAACGAAAATCAAGATAAAAAGGTTTTTAATTTTATAGGGGATATTTGAGGTGAATATTGATCGATGAACCTGATACAAATTTTATTCAGATAATAGAAATTTGTACATGAAAAAAAATACAGCTAATTGTTGAAAATAATTCAAAATACACACTGGAAAAAAAAAAAGATTGCTTAAACATTAGTTTCCTGACTCTGTTTGAATATATAATTTCATGTTTACTTTTTAATAGTATTATGACGTACAATACAATTAGTAATTACCCAAAAATCATATTGCACACTCCGGCAATAAACACGCCAGATATAAACAAATATTTTGTACCAAATATCGGCATCTAAAATAAACATTAAAACAGTTTAAGTAAAAATCATATACATGAATATAAATATAAATATAATATAAATATATATATAATAATAATAATAATAATATATATATATATATATATATATATATATATATAATATAAATATTATTAACATTTGCATTTCATTAAAAACAAGATTAAGTAATAATAAGAATGTATTTTATTAATTTTCTTTTTAGTAAATGTATTTATAGTATCACGTTTATTAAAAAAACTAAAGTTTCAAAACGGACTGCTACATAAAAAAATAAAACGAATATATATATTTATACTTACTATTGACCCCATAACTGGAGAGAGTAAGAACATAATCAATGCAAAGAAACTAAAAACTAGACCAGCTTCTGAAATTGTCATGTCTTTTTTTTCAGCCTAAACAAAAATTAAAAATAGTAATTAATAAAAATGTTTTTAACTTTTTCATAATTTTGAATGTAGTAGTATGTACGTAGTAGCCTATCTACTATCTACATCTTTTCAGGAAAATATTCTGTTAGTACCAATCATATCTGTGAAGGTATTGATTATTAATAACAACTTATACAATTACGGTTCTACAAATGTAAAAATCCGAACTGTGCTTAAATAAATCGATACCCAATTAATTATCTATCGAAATACACCTTTTAATGATTATTAATATTTTTGCTTATAAGTATATTTATTTATGTTATTAACATCACATCAGTACATTAAATTAGTAATTAAAAAATAAATATGTATAAAATTCTTATCATATGATATCTAAATAACTTACCATATTTGTAATGCTAGAAATGTACATTATTAGTAACAATTCATACTAACAAGTACCTATTTAACAATCAACAAATTAGTAATTAAATTTTAAATGTTTCTACTTCAAGGTAATCAGTTTGGAACTGTAAACGAATTACCTTAATATAAGTTCTAAATTTTAATTGAAAACATTTGGCAAGAAATATGGTTCGTGAATCCCTAAAATTAAGTGAACATTCAATTTCATTCGCTCCGCGTCGAATTTTTTAAATTCATGTTCCTCTGCATAAATCAATTTCGATTCGCGCAAAGGTGAAATAATTCGTGATCAAACGGCTATCGACTTTGCATCGGGTAAAATATTATGCACGTACATCTCGACGCAGCAGCCTATTGTCGAATGTTAAATCAACATAAACATCACTTTGCATATACTTTGACCCTTCGGGATCTCCGGTGAATATCCGTACACGAATAATGTGTTTGACGGGATTTCGCGGGTCGAATGCACGTGCACGTCACTGTCGCGAACCTCGGCGGCAGTAACCAATGCGTTTAAAAGACGGATGTTATGCGTATAACCGCGGACTGTCCGTGCGAGATTCGCTTGAGCGTGTGCAACAAATATCAAACTATTCCGGACTGTATTGACGTATATGCCACTGGACTGGTGGACACCTTCAAAGTACGAGTTTCGCGGAGAAATGTACGGCCGTTTATACGGATACGGTAACGTGTCGACGGGCGATGTTAAACGACGACGAAAACGTTTTTCGAAAAAAATAACACGTAAGTCGTAGGGAATGGAAATTTCACGAATCGAAAAGTGTTTCGGCCACGACGAACAGCCGTTATTACGCAAAGGGTGTTTGACGTCGAGACGGATCGCGGTTTAAAAAAAAAAAAATTTGCCCGGCCACGTGTTCGCGTGCTCCGAGGGTACGGAAAAAAAAAATACCACCCCCTCGGGTTGGGAAAGCCTTGACCGAGGAACGTCGACCGGTTTCGAACGCTAGAAAGTATACCAAGTAGCCAATCCCAACGGAGACCAACGGTGCGCGGGCACCGCGTAACGACGGCGCACGCGTTCCGCGACCGCGTGACCACGTCCCACGTCCTTACGCGGTCTCTCACCTCTTTCGGAAAGGTCGGCGCCATGATGGACATGGAGCAGAACCCGAGGAAGTCGACGAGCGCGAGCGAGCCGAGTGCCATGTACTGCCTGATGGTGAACCCGAAGTACCGCCGGACGCCGTCGTCGTCTTCGCGGTCGCCGCCGGTGCCGCCGTACATGTCGGACGGCACGGGGCTGCGGGAAACGCGGCACAGCTCGCAGAAAGCGTTCCGCTCCATGGACAGCGACATGCTACGGGCGGTCCGGTACTTCTTCGGATAGTCGATGCGGAACTTCTCCAGGCCGCTGCTGCTGCCGCCGTCCCCGCTGCCGGCGTACGGGCCATTGAAGAATCCGTTGGCCACGCCCGCGATCGGCTGCTTCTCGGACAACGTGCCCGTCTCGTCGCGGTCGTGGTCGCGGCAATAGCGTCGGTGGCCACGCCGTTGGTCCGACAAATCGCTTCGTATGTGCTCGTCATCGTCGGTACTAGCATCCTCTTCGTCCATGCTCACGCCCGTCGCGCCGATGTTGTTGTTGGATTCCAGACCGCATGGTAAGTTTGTCAAGCTTTGGAACTGCAACAGGAAAACAAACACGTTGCATTATTTATCTTCTAGTCGCGTAGCGGTTGGTTTTATTTGGAAAACTATTGGTACAATGCGCGGATTTGAAAGTAGGCAGCGCGTTAGCAGAAACATTTCGGACGCTACGATTTATTGGCATTTGCTACAGTCAACATCTTCATGCGAGACGATAATATGTTTTAAATTTTAATTTTAACGTCGTTCCGTAAAAAATTCGATCTTAGCAGTTGCGACGAACAATTTGTCATTAAATATTTATATATATATATATATATATATATATATATATATATATATATATATTTATTTATTATTTTAAAATATTGAACTACGAAACTATTTTGGTTTTAAACTAAATATTTGTACGTATTATTTTTTCTCGTGTTTTCGTAGATCCGTGTAACATATAAAAACTGATATTAAATTATATCGTCAACGTTTTATAGAACGTTCGAAAATGATTAATTTCATTACCTAGTTTTAAAGTAATTACGATTTGCACTAATATATGTTTCTTAGAAAAATTAACGCGATCAGAATTAATGTTCCTTTTAAAAGTTATGTGATTTATATTATCTATTTAATAAATGTTATTTTTAAATTATTATAATCATTGATTTGGTCAAGCTTTTACATACCTATATTGCCAGTATAGAGAAGCATGCAATTTAAATTGTTTTATGAATAATAAGTTGTTTATTTAGAAACATCGGGTAAAAAATTATTCTTGTATCTATAGAGACAAAATAATTTTGTTGATTTTAAAAATATAAAAATTAAAATATAAACCTCTATAATTAAAGTGTAAATTAAAATTAAAATCATATCTGAAAAAACTAGGATTTTAATGAAAAAAAAAAAATATTGAGTCTTACTAAGTATATAGCCCTATACTGTGAAAATATATATGCAAAATACTCGTAATAACAAAAATATCAACGATTTTACAAGTTTATGGCTAGAAATTGTTATTATACAGTTCTATAAAATTTTATTTTATTTGTACATAATTTTTAGTTAATATTCATATGATCTTGATAAATTTAAAATGCAAATTGGTTTATGAAAAATCATTGTAGCAAACAAAAAAAGTAATAATAAAAAGAAATGTATTATTCTTTAATTTAAGTCAAAATTCCAAAATTCCAGAAAAAATGAATTATATATTTTAAATAGAACTTTTACATAAATAATCATACAGTAATAATGGTAAAATTCAAATATAATGAATGTAATGCATGTGAATTGTAGATTCACAAATGAAATAATAGATTTGAATAAGATTAGGTACTATACACCTAATGTCATTAAGATGACTTAAAAAATATGGAAAACACGTATATTTTGTAAAATACACATATATTTCCATCAATATGGTGACAAAAATATAAACACGATTAGAAAATAATCTTGAGAAACGGTTAAATTAGTTTAGGTTATTTAATATACATTTAATGGTAGGGCATTCTTTAGAATATTGTAGTATGCTAAGTATGTATACAAATCCACCTCTATATTTTCAATGATTCAAATATAATCTGTATCAAATTTTAGTTCTCCTTACTAAATATTCATTTAAAAAAAAGTATATTTTGATTTACTTCACTGTATAAAATACTTAAATGTATGTACATAAATGATGGATAATCTCACCATTATTATATCCAACTATGATTGTACATTCAATCTTTTTGTCAAATTATGAACATTTATACTAGTATTCTGTGTACCAAGTCTCAAGTCTCAATCTCCAGTCTTGATGATCAGACAAAATTATTTTTGCTAAGACTGACCTAATAATTTTTAGCCTCCCATTGGCCCAAGTTAGTCAAATATCTTAGCACCGTAATTAATAATATAATATTCTAACTATCTTGTTCTAACGATTCTAACGATCATTAGATGGAAATGTATGAAGTGTAATCGGTAAGTATAAATACTTATGTTCCTACGTCTAAATATGGAATATATTTTTTAGTGCAATAAATAAAAAATGATAAACAAACTAATAAAAAATTATATCTGGTTTTTGTTCTTTAATTTCTAATGAAACTTATGATAACTAAGTAATAAAAGATTGAAGTAAATTTTATTCAGTTGATAATTATCAAGACGTTTTTGAAGTAAAATTAAAGGTTTGGTGCACACATTTGCAAAAATTAAGTGCACATAATCTTCTATAATCTAGATGCTCTTGATAAGTGCTATCTCTTTTCAAATGTATTCAAACTGCTTCATATTTTTACACACTACCTGTTACATCGAGTGAACCATAAAGAACTTCTTCCATATGAAAATTAATCAAGACTGATCTTCGAAATTCTGTTGATCATTTAAGGCTTAATGATTTAGTAGTTATAAATATTTATCGTGAAATCGATGTTGAAGTTGAAGTTGAGGAGGTTATAAAAACATTGGCAAAACAAAACCATCATATTAACTTTATTTTATAAAAATGTATATTATATTTATTTTATGATTATACTATACTACTAAACTTATTTAATAATATTTTTTTAATTTTTAGATTTTATTATTTTACAACAAGAAGAAGAGGAGATTTTTTTAGTGACGAGCAAAAAAAAAAAAAATATTGTCATAAATTAATTTATATTATGGCACCTCCCCCTTGAAAAAATCCTGCATACGCCACTGCGATGTGTATTATTCATATAATTAAATTTAAAATGTGATTATAATGTGAAATGATGATTATTTGTATCCTAAAACCGTGGAAATATATAATATAGTTTAATTAACAAAAAATATAACTGAATGAGAAATGTCGTTGAATCAATTATAATATATAACGAAGAAACAAGTTATTAATTATTATATTAGTTGGTATCCTGAGTACTACAAACAAAATGTGTCTATAGACGCGAAGCTATTACAGTTCATTATAAAAAGTTACAAAACGATAAGTTTGAAAAATTCAAAAAGTCTAGCTGGTATTAATGTTTCTGAAACTAATGACATAATTTAACAACGACGCAATACAGAAAATTCAGTGGAGTTAGTATTAAATCAATGTAGTCTCAACTATCTTATTTGTTTTAAATTTTGATAAACTAACAAAACAACAAGTATCCACATTTTGCTTCAATCAGACGACGTAATGGCACGTAAAGTTTTCGAACAATGTAATCGTTTAATTAAACTAGGGCAGGGCATATTAGTTATACAGCGTATAATAATATTATATACACTGACAACGTGAAGTAATAATGTCTTATGGAACAAAAGATTATTTGTGTTAAAAAAGATACCGATGGTGGTGGTTTCTGATCTGTGGTGAACACGGCGAATTAGTAACGTCCAATTAATTAGGATAGAAACACAAATGTATCATTTAGTTTTATTACTAATATATTATTTACATAATTATACAAGGGGTTAAAAATAAAAGAGTAGATAGATAAAAATAAAATGATCTGCATGCTTCACAGATGAAAAACAGTTCACACTGCTACTATAGTACAAGAATATTATATAATAATATTGCTAAATAAGACTTATAACTATAACTTTTGGTTATAACTTTTATTTTGATGCAAATGCATATTTTTTGATGATGTTCTAATACACAGATCCGTAAGAAGAAAATGGTATCAAATGATACTGATTAGTTTATTGTAGTTTTTATTTTGCATTTTTTTACATTTCATGATAAATTTAACTTTATATGTATTTTTAGAACATAGGTATTTATTTTTTAATAGCGAAAACCAATTTTTTTTTTTAAATTTATCATTAATATTATTCGTAACATACAATACTACCTATACAATATAATAAATTATGATTGATTTTCTATGCAGTTTTGAGAATTCTCAATTCAATGTTGTAATCAAATTAAGGTAGGTAGAATAACTACTGTGCCTTAGTTATAAAAAATCGATACATTTATTAACTTACAAATTTATTAAAGACTAGAAGATATAAATAATTATTTTGTAAAATAACTTTTTACATCAAATTTTCTGTAAACAAATGATAATGTAATAATTATATATATTTACATTATGTTTATTATGTTTTTATTATTAATGAGTAAAAGTTATTCTAACAAATATTAAATTTTTAAAATAATCTTAAATTGATTACCTGCTTCTATTTCCATAAAATATAATTCTGTTTATTTATTGCATCATACGTAACTTATTAATATTTAATAATAAATAATACATTTTCAATGAAAAAAATTGTCTAAGTTAGTTTAGTTAGGCTTTTAAGATTATATTTATTAAAATATTTATCACACTTGTCACTTATATAATGAAGAAATTATAGTTAGCTTAATTATTATATTAATATCATAATATATTACCTATGTTAATCATTACGGTAGTAGAAAAATGTAGTTTATCGTATACAGTTAATAGTATTTCAAATATAACAGTGATGATGCTACATGGGCTCAATGACACAGATATTCCACTGTTGAATTTTTAACTTATACAGAAGTCAAATTTCAATTAAATTAAACATTTTTTTTATTTTTTTTATTTATTGAAAGTTTAAATTTTTATATTTATCCTACCGGTTTTATCCTGTAATTCAAGTAGTGTTAACTAATTAAATATATGTTTTCGTGAGTTACGGAAAGTCAAAAGATGATTTCTCTAAAGCACCATTTGTGTCTAATTTTTGGACTATTATTTATATCCGAAAGTCCAACTATTGAAAAAAATTATGGTTAAAAATCAAAGTATTCCTCGTTTTGTTTAGAATTTAAAATAAAATATATGATATTTTTATTAATTAAATTTAATTAGAAACTTTAAGTTTCAAAATAAATTAATAGTTACAAACACTTTTTGTAACAAAATAAAATAATATAGTATAATTTACCATTAGATAAATACATTTCATGATATTATTATATATTTAATTAATACATATTGTAATATATATTTCAAACGATTGCCATATAGAATATTAAGCACTTAAGGAGTATGTTGTGTAATATGTGTAATATATTATACCAC